GTAGGTGAGACCAAGTCTGGCCATTCTCGCTTCCAAGGAGCATTCTGGCTGCACTTCCTCCAGGACAGATCTGTTCGTTCTTTTAGCAGTCCACGGTACTTTCAGCATTCTTCGCCAACACCACGACTCAAAAGCATCAACTCTTCTTTGGTCTTCTTATTCATTGTCCAGCTCTCACGTGCATATGAAGTGTTTGAAAATACCATGCCTTGGGTTAAGCGCATCTTAGTCTTCAAGGAGATATCTTTGCTCTGCAGCACTTGAAAGAGGTCTTTTGCAACAGATTTTCCCAGTGCAATACGTCTTTTGATGTGTTGACTACAGCTTCCATTGGCATTGGTTGTAAAACCAAGTAATATGAAGTCTTTGACAATTTCAATCTTTTCTCCATTTATCGTAATGCTGCTTATTGGTTCAGTTGTGATCATTTTTGTTTTCTTTATATTGAGGTGTAATCCATACTGCAGACTAGAGTCTTTAATTTTCATCAGTAAGTTCTGCAAGTCATCCCACTCTCAGCAAGCAAGGTTGTGTCGTCAGCGTATCTCTGGTTGTTAATGAGTCTTCCTCCAATCCTGATGCCATGTTCTTCTTCATATATTCCAGCTTCTCGGATTATTTGCTCAGCATACAGGTTGAATAAGTGTGGTGAAAGGATACAACCCTGACACACTCCCTTCCTGATTTTAAACCATGCAGTATCCCCTTGTTCTGTTTGAACGACAGCCTCCTGGTCTATGTACAGGTTCCTCATGAGTACAGTCAATGTTCTGGAATTCCCATTGTCGTCAGTGTTATCCACGACTGTACATATTATCTGATATAGATACAGATACCTACATATACATATTATATACGGATACATACATAAATATGCCTAAATTATTGTTAACAGTTTTGAAGGAGAAAAAAATACACTTTATGGCAGCATTTATCTTACTCTGATAGTTTTAACTGATTCATGTCTTAAAGCCGTCATTTATTGCCAGTGTGTCTTTTAAGTGTCTCCAAACATTAGTCTTTGGAAGCAGACACTGGGTCAATGGTCACAGCTCTCTGATGGAATTTGAGAGGCTGAGACATTGGCCCCGACGTGACTGTTCTGATGATGTCAGCTTTGAGGACGTGTCGGATTGAGCACAGCTGGTTTAGAGTGCAGACCTGCATAGTATCTCTTGTCATTGCTCCCGTCCTTAAAGTCACATCTTCCCGCTGAGAGTCACGCTGTCCTCACACTTGGTGCCTCACACAACCTCAAGAATGAGCAGGACGTGAACTTCGGGGCTCAGAGCCAGACCCTGTTTTCTCCCAGTGTCCTGGTTCCCTAGTGCTGCCATAACAGAACTACCAAAAGGGGGTGGCTTTCACAAACAGAAATTTATTCTCTTGCCATTTGTTGTTGTTCTTATGTGCCGTGGAGCCGGCCCTGACTCATAGCGACCCCTCCTTGGATTTCCAAGGCAATATCACTATGGAAGTAGATTGCCCAACCTTCCTTCTGAGGATTGGCTGGTGGTTTGAACCGCCAGCCTTCTAAGGGCTGGAAGTTGAAAGGATATAGATTTGGGTCCATATAAGAAACCTCAGAACTAAATATACACAGAATCCGTCGCTTCAGAAGGTGACGAACTCCTTGTCACTAAACATGTTGAAACTGGCGCTACAAAGACGGCGTGCCAGGCAGAGCATTGGGGCGTGTTCACTGAATGCCCAGGCGAGGAACACGCCGTCAGTGAGACGAGTAGAGAAGCGAGGGGCTGACTGAAGCCCTC